TGGGGTCATTTGACCCCAGTGCTCTTCCTGCCATGGCAGGGGGGCGGACTAGATGATCTGCTCAGGTCCCTTCCGACCCTAGAAACTATGAAACTATGAACAATTCTATGCTGTCCATGTTATTTGCTCCTTTCAAGATGAGGTACTTAGTCCTGAAGTGCTGTTGTAGACAAGATGGTCCAGGAATTATGTGAGAGGCAAGGATTTTTGTGGGTAATATCTTTTATCCCAACCATTCAGATGATCCAATAAAGTTAGACAAGCTTTCATATACAAGGGACTCTTTATCACAGATGAGGAAAGAACATCTTGCATTTGAAAGCTTGTCTCACTTTATCCCTACCTTGCAGTTGGTCCAATAAAAGATATCATCCCCAAAAGTCCTTAGTTAATTGTCTTTGTATTACATTTGATAGTATATACACTCTCACCAGCAAGGATCAATACGCATGTAAGCAACACTTAAGAGAAGTGATTGTAATAGGTCCTTAACCCTGATGTAGACCTGAGATACAATTAGTAGAATACACGCTTGTATTAGTAATACAATGATTGTGTTATGTTATTAATGCACCTAGGAATACCAGTTATGGATTGGGACCCCTCTCTGAAAAGGAATTATACAAATAAAGCACAAAGAGACACTCTACTCCAAAGAGTTTATAATTAAAGCACTTTGTGTCAAAATATTAGCTACTTCATTGGCCTGGACAAATGTAATACATTATTTTAAAGTAATTATCTTCTTTCAGATTTAAAACAATGAAGTAAATGAATTAAGGCCACATTTTCCAAACTGCATGTGAATGCAGGCTTTCTAGTTACTACTTAAGCCCATAAATTATGGACTGATTTTTGGAAGCAAAACCTCTAATGAGCTCAAAGCATTTTTAAAAATCACACAACAGCTTCTGATGTCAAAATATGGACTTCAGTGCCAAACTTAGAGTACCGCTTTTTGACAATGTTGACCATTAAGTGGTCTGATAAAACATTTTAAACATATTGTCCAAAATATGTATTCAAAATTAAGGATTAACGCAGTAGCTGAGGTAAAATATACAATGAAAACATAATGGGCAATTAGTTAACATTTTATAACTTCTGTGAATAATTAAACATATTATGCATAACGGTCAGGATAATACATGAAAGCTATTTTTAAAGGGTCTTCTGTTATCTGAACAGACAGGCTGAAAAGGTAGTGATTATCTCTGGGTAAAAACAGATGTTGGATTTCTCCAGGGACATAGCCTTTTATCCTGGGATACTACAGATGTACAAGTTCATTATCCTACCTTCAGGCACCTGTGAAGTACTTGTGTAAGTGGAATAAACATTTTAGAATTGAACTGGAGCTCCTGATTCACAATGTCTAGTACTTTACTTTCACAAAGTACTATATCATATAATCCCAAAATTAGATGAATGTTTGGCAGGGTTTTTGTCCCCACTACTACTTAAAGCTGTTCCAACTACATTCCAAGTAACAAGTGATCTTTGGGCACATCTACAGATGCCATTAATGTGCAGCAATAAACTCCAGCACTTGCTGCTCCAGAGCGTATTGCTCCCAGGAGTGCTGTTTATACATGCACCTAGACCGCAGCACACTGAGCCAGGTCAGAGCAGCCCTGGATGGAAGGGAACCTGGGGAGTCAGCCTGCCAGCCCAGAACTGCTCTGACTGGGCTCAGTGTACTGTGGATGGGCTGGCTGAGGCACGAGGGTGCTTCAGTGTGGGAGCTGCCTGCCAGCTAGCTCTGCACTGATGCACCCTCATGCCCCAGCCAGCTGGGTCAGCATCTACAAGTGGGCTACTGCACACGAAAAAAACTCTACAGCAGGGTAGTACTTGTACTTACAAGTACTACCCTGCTGCAGAATTTATTAGTTTCCTGCACCCTAATAGGGGTGCACATGTAGATGCTGAAACGTTTACTGCAGAGCAAATTAGTCAGTTCTGCAAGAAACATCTCATGCAGACACATCCTTTCTATTGCAAATAAGTCTTCAGTGAATTCAATCTGATATTTTTGTGGTCAGTAATTTTAAAATGCATTATAACTGTTTTAAATAAGATCTGATAAAGTTAACTTACAAAGTTATACACCTCCTATTTAGTCAGTCTAAGGCACAAATCTATGTTGCCTTCTGCCTTAAACAAAGTCATCAGCTTCATAGACCGCAGGTATTTAAATGAATGTTAGTAATGGAAGCTTTGTTACTACGGAGTTTCACAGTTTGCTGTGATACTGACTTTAAGTGTACCTTGTCAGACCTCCCAGATAATCCAGCCCATGTAAATAATACCAAGCCATTCACTTGGGACACAGTACTGCAAGGTACTGCAAGCAAGACTTAGCTGTGTCAGCCTGAAGTCAAGTGGAAGGTAAGGTAGGTTGGCACTTACAGACTAACCAAAGTACATGTGTGTAGTTAGCCTGTAAGGTGCAGATCTCCTCTACTTTTCACTAGACTAATACAACCTACATCTCTTGCTTGCTCCTATAGACATCAGGGGTGGTCAAGGGCATTCAGTACCTAGCAGTACTGTGTCCTAAATGAATGGTTTGGCAGTATGTGCACACACACACACGCACACACACACACACGCACACACAGGAAAACCTCACTATTTGTGGATTTGGCATTCACAGTTTTGAGTATTCGTGGTACAGCATGATGACACTTTGTTACAGTGTCGGCAGCATCTGTGGGAGCTGTGCACTTGCCACCACTGGGCTCCTGCCACCGCGCTCCCACCACAGCCAGCGCAGCCATGCCTCTCCCTCCACCCCCCTCAGCGGCATGCACCATTCACAAACGCAGACGACATTCATGAATACTGTGCAATATTTGCAGATTTCCCCATTCACGGGGATCTCTAGAACATAGAGATCCCTGTGAATGGCAAGGATCTCTTGTAGAGAGAAAGAGAGAGTAAGAGTGTGTGTGTGTGTGCGCACACGTGCGCACGCGCATACACACACACACACACACACACACACACACATCCTGAATGAATGGGTTGGTATTCTAATTTCTCCTTGCACTGCTTTCTGCACCTCTTTTCACAGCATCTGATGAAGTGAGCTACAGCTCAGGAGAGCTTGGACTTTATTTACCTACCTACCTATGTACGTATACCAAGATATACATCTAGGTCAGTGTTTCCCAACCTATTCCAGCCCAAGGCACACTTACATTAAAAAAAAAAAAAGTCTGTGGCATCTTGTTAAGGCAGTCCTCATCCTCATACGTATTGTAGCTCATTGCCATGGCAAAACTCCATGGCACACCCATTCATTTCTGACCGCACACTGGTTGGGAAACACTAGTCTAGATATATAACAATACCAAAAGATCTCTCCCTCTGTCTGTATTGTTATATGTATCTCTTTCTTGGTATTGTTTTATATATAACACAACAACAATATCTAGCTTTACATCTAGAGATGGATCTTTGGAAAGAAAGAAAGCAAGAAAGAAAAACAATACCAAGAGAGATAAAGTTATGTCTAACAATAAGGAGAGTGTGAATCTCTTGGTATTGTTATATATCTAGGTAGCTGTATCTTGGTATAGGTAGGTAGGTAGGCAGGCAAGCCCCAAGCTTTCCGGAGCTGTAGCCAAAGAGAAATTAGAATACAAAAGGGAAAAGGGGAGAGAGAAAGCGCGCTAAGGGGAGAGGGGCCGTGCTGGGAGCGACAAGCAAACATTAAAGCCCTGGGAACAAAGCGGTCACGGAGGCGAACCCAGGTAATGGGATGAGACGCGGAGCCTCTCCGGAAAGCGCGCGGCGCGGGAGGAGCCGAGGCGGCCGCAGGGCCCCACGCACCCGGGCTCGGGGGCTCCGAGTCAGCAGAGAGCCGAGCC